TAAAGAAAATATGGTACATATGCATAATGAAGTATTACTCAGCTGTTAAAAACCATGACTTCATGAAAATTGCAGGCAAATGGATGAACTAGGAGAAAAATCATCCTGAGTGAGGTAATCCAGATGCAGAAAGACAAACATTGTTTGTACTCACTTATAATGAATATCAGCTGCAAAGTAAATGATAACTGTGGTAAAAATCCACAAGCCCTCAGAGCCTGTGTAACAAGGAGACTCCATGGAGGGGATTCATGGATCTTCCTGGGAAGGGGAAGAGATCTCTTGGATGGACTGGTGGTAGGTGGGGATGGAAACATGATGGATAAGTAGGGTGTGGCGTGTGGAGAGAGTACTAAAAGAGACAACAGGAAAGGAGTTTATTTCAGGGTCAGTTAGAAACATGGTACCAAGGAAACTCTCAGGAATCTACAAAATGACCCAAACTAAGACTGCTAGCAAAAGGGGATACTTAGCCAGAATAAGTCACCTCTTTTGACTAGGTAAGACTACCAGTGGACAGATTGAGACACCATCCAGTCACATAACTTTTGACCTACAGTCTGTGCTGCCAATGGGATGTGCTGGAATAAGGGTGACACAGAGATTTTGGGAGTGGCCAATCAATGACTGGTCTAGCCTGAGACCCACGGCACAAGAGTGAGCCTACCCCTGACACTGCCTTGTGCACCAGGACCCACAGGCTAAATGGCCCAGAGATCTAGGATAGAATCAAACACAAATGGGAAAAAATGTCAATGTAATGATGCTTAAGGATACTCTGCTATACTCGTAGATTGGTGCCTAGCCCAATAGTCATCAAAGAGGCTTCATCCAGCAATTAGTGGAAATGGATGTAGAGACCCACTATCAAATATTAGGGCAAGCTTGGGGATTCCTGCTGATGAGAGAAAGGAATTATTGTAATAGAGGGGTCAAGGACATCACAAGAAACCCCACAGAATCAATTAGCCTGTACTCACAGGAGCTCACAGAGGCTGAACCAAGAACCAGGGAGCCTGCATGGGACCGATCTAGACCGTCTGCATATTTGTGACAGCTGTGTAGCTATGTCTTCTTGTGGAACTCTTAACAGTGTGAGCAGAGACTGTTTCTGACTCTTGCTGGCACTTGAGATCCCATTCCTCATAGTGGGTTACCTTTCCCAGCATTGATGCAAGGCAACGTGTTTAGTTTTACTACAACTCCATATGCCATGTTTTGTCAACATCCATAGGAGGCATGCCCTTTTCTGAATAGAAATGGGGGAGGCATGGAAGGGGGTGGCAGAAGATATAAGGGGGATTGGGAAAAATGAGGGAGGGGAAACTGCTTGAGGTGTAAAATTAATAAAAAAAGCCCTAAAAACAGTTTGTATTATCTGTAAGCTCTTCCACAATAGAACAATGTAGTACTAGGTTTATTTTCCTAAAATATAAAATAAAACAGTGAACCACACAAGAAACAACCTTTAGCAACCCAGCTCCTTGTTTTCTCGAGTCCCATAAAAGAAAACTTGAAATCATAACTTGCCCCTTGAGAATCCCTTGTCCTTCCATTACTGCCCTCTGTCTTTCTTTACAATGTCACTTCCTTCTAATCTTTACTATCGTTTTGCTTTTAGTCAAGTTTCCTTGCTGCTTTGCAAATCACGTTAGTACATGTTTAATCAGACATTTAAAATCCTGCAACATCCATCCAGACATTGACCATCAGTAACAAAATGTCTCTGGAATGTTTCAGCTGACTTGTGGAAGCGTTCTTCTTCTACTAAGGGTGTCCCGAAGGATGACCATTGCAGATTCTGCGGGCTGTCATGTGAGCAGGCAGAACTGTGTTGTAAAATTCATAGAACTCAGAGAAGCACAGTTATGACAGCAATATGTCAGAAGCAATACAGGGAAAGAGGAATTCTTGTATACCACACACACTCCTAATTCAGTCTTAAGGCTGGTGCATGCTATCCTCAACAGATTCATTGGAGTGGGATTTTGAAGAAATTGACTCATGGTAGGAGTTTTTCTAGCCCATAGAATTGAAGACCAGGACGCTAGAAAATCAGCATGATCAAATCTAGGCTGCAGCACCACTTTCTGTCTTTCAACTGATAAAAGATGGAAGAATCCAGAATCTCCAGGGTCTACGACAAGGTTTTGGAAGTCCAGACTAGTGCTTCTTCCCTTGAAAATGAGGAGGCTAGCACATATAAAGCAAAGAAACAGATGTGAGGTAATTCATGATCAAATGTTTCTTCAAATATTATGAGATTCCACTATTTTCTTAAAGATATCTATACTCATTTGTTAGAGACTGAGGCTTTGTCTCTGGATATGCAGAGAAGCTGTTATCATGGTCAGGATTAGTTGCCAGTCACTGAGTAAAAGGTAAGAATGCTACATTTATAGTGAATAGCATGGTCATGTAATGAGAGGCAGTGTTTTTGGTTAAAGTAATTATGCCAGGTAGCACTTGTTGATGATTTGTGCTCATCAGTTGTGGGAAATAGTAGCACAAGGTTTCAAAATAACCCAAGATCAGAATTATTAACATAGGGGGAAATGGTACAGACGAACTGTCTTCTTTATTTCAGGAAAATAGACTATTTTAAACTTAAAAGTACATTGCATTTAGAACACAAAGTTTTTCCTACTCAGAATTTTGGTAGAGTGAGTTAACAATTTATTAGCCTTGTGGTCTATTGTACTCCCACTGAAAATAATATTCTTCTTCATTTATTGTTAACAATTAAGTATTGGGCCAAATAGTGAGTGCTATTTCCTCTACAAATTTAGAAAATAATCTCAAAAAATGTCCTTAGTAGTGTAGGATCTTTATAGAAGAAATGCCTCCTCTGGAGAAAAATAAGGATTATCCTGGTGTAGCTTGGGACATTTGGGGCATAAGCCTGTGCAGAGTTACTGAGATAAACAATTCTGTAGTTGTATCTAGATCTGATGATCTTCTGCTGTTTGGCATGTGTCCAAAGCAAAATTCAATGCTACAAAGACACATTAATTGGATGGTCTTACAGTGGGTTAAGTGTTGGTCCCAGACAGGACATGGCATACACATGATGTCTCCTGCTCAGCTCCCAATGACTACAGTGGGAATTTAAATGTGACACTGTGATCAGTCTTGCCTGGTACACTGGGGAAGTCCTTGCTCACTCTGCTTAATTTTTGAAATTTTTATGTATCCAATCCCAGGTGACAGATGTGAAATCCAGACGACCCAGTCCCATCCTCTGTGTATGCATCTCTGGAACACAGAGTCACCATCACTTGCTAGGCAAGCCAGAATATTAGCACTTATTGGAACTATCCTAGCCAAAACCTGGTGAAATGGTTAAACTCCTGATCTACTATAATTCAGCCTGTAGTTGGGAGACTGAGACACACAAGCAGACAGGCTGTCCCTGAATCAGTATGATGTCTCCAGTTACTGCTCAAGACTTCATAGTGAAAATATGGTTTGTAATACATAGGAGAGACATATATTGAGTAGCAGTGTTTTGTATTCAAGTCTGTCATTACTAGTCAGTCTTTCATGCCGAAGAATTTTGGGAATGGTATCAAATGACAGAAAAGTGGCCAAATGTGGAGGATCCTAAACTGAGAAAAGAGTGCAACACATATAATTTTGTGGATGTGAAAGTACCTCCATCTTCAGATGAAGTCAGAAGTCCAAGTAACACATGTTGTTGGGGTCAAAGTACTGTGGGATGTCTTTCTGTACACTGTGAATATGTGTTGCTCTGATTGATTGGTAAACAAAGGTCCATTGGCCTATGGCAGGGCAGGATGGAGCCAGGCAGGAAAATCCAAGAGAGATAGTGAAAGGATAAAGAGAGTAAGAGGAGATGCGAAACCGCCATCCGAGGAGCAACATGTAATGGGACATGGGTAAAGCCACAGAACACATGGTGATACATAGATTAACAGTTATGGGTTGAGTTAAATTGTAAGAGCTAGTTAGCAAGAGATCTTCCATAGGTCATAAGTTGATAATTAGTATAAGCCTCTGAATGATTATTTTATATGCAGCTGCAGGACCTCAGGGCCAGGCATGACACAGGAAAACTTCCAGCTACAGTCAAAGTGTTATATATGCACATACTGTGTATGTCTCTCTTTGTGCTGTAGTAAGCATGGCTAAGTCTGCTAATTTTTACCTTTTAATTCATTAAAATGTTTTTTGTAAATTATTCTTTTAATTAAAAAATGATTACTAGAAACACACAAACACTTCTCAAGGAGAGTACTTTTTTTTTTTGGTTTGGATTTTTGAGCTGGTGTTTCACTACATAGCTCTGGCTATCCTGGAACTCACTCCACAGAGTAGGCTGGCCTCTATCTCAGAGACCCACTTGCCTTTGCCTCTCAAGTGCTGGGAATAAAGTCATGCACCACTACTGCACAGCCATAGTATTTTTTAATCCATAAGAATTATTTGGCCAGGCGGTGGTGGCACATGCCTTTAATCCCAGCACTTGGGAGGCAGAGGCACTTGGATCTCTATGAGTTGAAGGCCAACCTGGGCTACAGAGTGAGTTTCAGGAAAGGCGCAAAGCTACACAGAGAAACCCTGTCTCAAAAAACAAAAAACAAAAAAAAAAAGAATGATTTGAATTAGTTGAAGATTTAATAGTCCCTTCTCTGTTGCATATTCCCTGACAGTCAGATATTTGTTTATATTACCACTAATATGTATTTAAAATATATTATTTAAAATAGAGCCTAGGTATAGTACAATATTTCAAATAACCTCCAAAATGTCATCTATAATTTTAAAACTTTAAAAAAGAAGTGCAGCCGCTGATGTGGTCTGATCTTCAGCATCTGGGGACACAGGACTTGTGCTCAGTTACTGAGGTGAGCAAGCCTTGCAGCTGTGCCCACCCTAACTTGTTCCCAGTGATTTGCATGCACTCGCTGCACAGCCTTGAGGACTTCTTCATATACCAGTCACACTCTGTACAGTTGTCAGTGCAGTCAGGACTCAGCATGGACATGAGGGCCCCTGCTCAGATCCTTGGGCTCCTGCTGCTCTGGTTCCCAGATAAAAAAATGAATATAATGAGAATTTTGCTGTTATACTGTAATTGTTGTTGACAGAAATTTGGGAGTAGTCTTTTCTTATTACACTTAACTATGTGGATATATGTTATGTCTTCATTCCTAGGTGCCAGATGTGACATCCAGATGACTCAGTCTCCATCGTCCCTCTCTGCATCTCTGGGTGACCGAGTCACCATCACTTGCAGGGCTAGTCAGGGCATTAGCAATTATTTAAACTGGTACCAGCAGAAACCAGGGAAAGCTCCTAAGCTCCTGATCTACAGAACATCCAACTTAGAAGATGGGGTCCCATCAAGGTTCAGTGGCAGTGGGTCTGGGACAGATTATTCTCTCACCATCAGCAGCCTGGAGCCTGAAGTCATTGCAACTTATTACTGTCTACAGTATGATGAGCTTCCTCCCACAGTGATACAAGCCATAACATAAACCTCAGTGGAAGCAGAAGTGAGAGACTGGGCTGCCCCAACTGTTACTCCTCATGAGTCACTCACTGGAACCATTTTCTCATATGTCACATGATTTTTAGCAAAGCTCACAGAGAGATGTTAGTTTTTGTAAAAGAAATGTGTTGTAGTTTTGTAGAATAAAGAGAGGTTAACTGTCCTCTCTTTGCTGTAACTATTTTTCTTTCCATTCATCTCCTGCAATAGAGTACCAAAGTGTTTTCTACATTAACCAAGGACACAGTCATTCCCTGTGAGGAGTCTGAATTTGTATCACTAGTTGGAACCCATACATAACGATGGAAGCTCCTGTGAACATTCCAGCACACATTTTATTTAAATATAGAAAAACAGTTTCTGAGTAGGGAAACTCAGATGTGGTGGTGGCAAGACTTTCCACCTAAAATCTGAGAAAACTTAAAAAGAGATTATAAATGTAGCTAAGAGCACCTTCCTAGTTCATTTCACTCATGGCAGGCCAAGGTACAGTGATGTGTCCCCTGGTTGTGGTGGGTTCGCAGTGTGCTGGCTGGAGCTACAGCATGGCAGATTCCTGCCAAGTCATGCAGAGGTTTCTCCAAGCCGTGCAACATTCTGTGTGGCAGATTTAGCATTTGCTAGTACAGACAAAAAAAAAGTGTTTTCTGGTCTACCTGCTGCTGGGTGGAGGAATGGACCCACTGCCTCCAAGAGTCAGCAGAGAGATTGGGTCCCAGAACTGGAAGTGAATTAGCCATGCCATGTTGGGACGCTGAAATGGGCAGAGTCAGCAGCCAAGGCTACATCTTCTGTTCTAGCCACACTGCAGCTTAGATCAATAGATTCACAAAAAGACAAGTTCAGATGAAATAAACCTCTAAACGGTTTATGTTATATGTAAAAATATAAGTAGACTTGGGAGAGAGAAGAAAATGAATACCAAGTTCTATAAAAATAGTTTTTAAAAATAAAGTCTTTAGAGAGACAGCAAAAGTAATGTAAATAATAAGCCATGTAAAGATGGAAATCCCACAGAGAGTCTGGATTATATTGTCTTTGGGATTATTAACTACAGAAAGACATTTGATTGTGAAAGCTGTTGAGTTAAGCCAATATATAAGTTTTAAAGATAGTGGGACTTCAGAGTTTATGTCTAAGGATATGTTACTTTGGAAAAGAGGTTATGTTTTTTTTTTCCCTACAGAAAATGAAAACCTGTGGATTGCTTCCAGGCTAATATGGTTTGATCAAGGAAGACCCCCTGAGAGGCCCAGATGATCCAACATCCAAACAGATTCAAGGCAACTGGCTCAAAAAATACAACATCATAGACTATTCCAGTAAAGACTTGACCATAATTCTTAATTTTCTCAGGATCCCCATTAGCTTTCTAGTGCCCTTATCCAGCAGGAAATAGTATGAAAAGCTATGCCCAAATTCCCAAAATATTGCTTATAAGTGTTTACTTTTATTTAAAGCAGGTTGATTATAAATGCAATCTCTTTCTAAAGAAGAAAAGGGGATAGTACAGATATGATAGGATGAAAGGGTAGATTATTGAATCTACTTTTAAAGAGCAACAACTTGTTTGAAATGTTTTCCATTGCTATGGATTTTAGTTTATTGATACAAATTTAGAGTTGATTTTGTTATACTATATATATATATATATATATATATATATATATATATAATTTCTACTCCCATTTAAGGTATTATGTTTATGTAATTCATGTTAATTGTAATGGTAATTAAGAAATACAGATCAATACTTAGTCTTCTATTATGATAGTCAAACTTATAGTCATGTTAAGCTTTCTAGGTATACATAGATATATTTCAATCAGATAGTTGATCTTCAAACACATCAAAACCTACAGAATATGGCATTTAAAATGTTTTTAAAAACTTAGACTTTTCTGGACAATGAGACACATCTGCTCCTGGCAGCACCAATTACTTCAAGGAAAATGATGGGCACTAAAGATACTTCATATGGAGTTTATCTTCTTCTTGGCAAAAATAACCATTTGGGCAAGAAACTGCTCTTGCATGGACTGCTAGTAATATTTTATGTAAACTGGACATACAACACCCATAGGAAGGTGACCACTGAACTATGAAAGGTGAAATGGTTCTTCACATTCCTGCTTCACAGAGGAGACTGTCAAATATTCTACAGGACACAAGGAGAAGTGACTGAAAAACTTTAGGCCTATAGTCTGAAGATGGATGCCCCAATGTTGCAGAGGTACTTTGGATGACTGTCCAGGCAGGCAACTGTCTGTATTGTTTCCAGAATTTTGAAAGTTGCTTACAATGCTCTTCCTGTTTACTTAAGTAATATTATATCCTTCTGAGGTCTTTGATGTAATTGAAGACTAGATAGTTATAATTTTCCTTGGTTATGATAAAAGATAAATTAGATATGAAACTTTAGACTCACAAATATGGGATAGATAGAATATTTTCTTTAGTTTTCTTAGTACAAATAGACTTGATATTGTACCTATTATTCTTGCTTGATAACTGTTCTATTATATGTAATTTTACTGTTAAAGTTAAAACCTTCCTTTTTGATTAGACAGAAAAGAGAAAGTGCCGTGGAATATCATTCTGTATCCTGTGAATGTTTACTGCTCTGATTGGTTGATAAATAAAACTGTTTGGTCAATGCTGAGGAAGAATAAGTTTAGGTGGGACCTTCCAACTACAGAGAGAGGAAGGAGAAAGGCAGAATTGAGAAGACACTGCTAACCGCTGCCAGTAGTAGCAAGATGTAAAGTACCAGTCAGCCACAAGCCAAGTAGCAAAGTATAGATTTATAGACATGGGTTAATTTAAGATGTAAGAGCTAGCTAGCGAGAAGCCTGAGTCATTAGGCCGTATAGTTTGAAATAATATAAGCCTTTGTGTGTTTATTTGGGTCTGAGTGGCAGCGGGCACAGGTGGGACAAGAGAAAACTTACAACTACAGAAGCTGACAGCAGAAAGTTGTTCTGGATTTCTCACAAAAGCTAGAGCCCATGTGTCAGAGAAAAAGAAGGTTGCCTAACCTGACTTTCTGCTGTGTCTTGAAATTCCATTAGTGGAGTATTGATTCTCTTAGCTCTCTATAGCACTTCACTTAGATTTCTAATGGCTCCTATGTCCACTGATCTGCTTACAAGTGTCAAATAGTATTGAAAAACATTCATATGACTTTTAATCACTCTGAAGTAGAGTATTGATTTGTTTATATGACATCACAGGGAGAAAATGGTTGTTTTAAATAGGTTCCCAGAAGTAGTATTTGTGAAAAATATATATTCCATAGCAAAGCTTTATAAACTAGAGAGATTTATACTCCATTGTTTTGTTTTTTTTTAGATATCGTGTGTGGGTAAGCTCTATTTCCTGTCTCTTTATGGTGTTCCATCCATCTACTTGTCTATCTGTGCACCAACAGTACACACAGACTTAATTACTGTAGGTTAATACAAGAGAGAATAATTAAGTTAGAAAATATAATACCACTTTTCTAGCCTTCTGATTTTCTTAGCTATGATGTACCTTGACTTTCTACATGAATTGTAGAAAAGCTCAGTTTATCTATTCCAGAAATTATTTAAGGAACTTGAGTTGCATTACATTGACTGTATGTGCAAATTGGAGAAGAAATACATTTAAAAGTGGTTCATGGAGCTGGAGATAATGCCCAGTGGTAAAGAGCAGCTGATGCTCTTAAAGATGACCTGTGTTTGATTCTCAGCACCCACATGGTGACCCCCCAGCCATCTTTAACTTCAGTTCCAAGGGCTTCTGCATCCTATCCTGGCCTCTGAGGGCACCAGACATGCACACATTTTGCTTACAAACATACAGTTAAAACACTCAGTAATATAAAAATACTTTTTATGAAGTGGTTCATGTTATGAACACAGATATGTTCTCTTTTCCCATGTATACCTATAAGAACAAGAGGATTATAATATGATCATTTACTCATTCCAATGTTTCCATCTCAGTGAATGCTTACTATATTAATTCCTTAGCTTTTTTTCAGAGCTAGAACTATGTGGTAGCCATCATAATAGCTATGATGCTTATAATAGAAACAAAATAAAACTTGAGACAACACAGCTATTTTTTAAGCTAGGAAACCTCAGATTCTGGGACTTCTCGTGAACACATGTGAATAGGTAGACACAGAGAAAGACATATAGATAGATATACAGACAGACAGATAGACAGATAGATAAATAATCTCTATCTGCCCATTCAACTATGCATCCATAATGCAAAACAGATTGTTAATTCATAGATAAATAACCTAAGATATTCTATTCTATTTTGTTGTATATTGTTATCTTAATAAATTTTATGTCATGTAAGTACCTTTTTATGACTTTTTAAATTCATTAAGGATATTTATGAGACTTCAGGGGATAATAGATGTCTAGGGTTTTCTGATCTGTGATAATCAGGGATAATCAAGGACAGTTAAATTGAAAAGAAAAGTGGAGAAATACCATTAGACTTCTTAAAAGAGGAGATAAGAAGGGCTAGAGAAATGCCTCCACAGTTGAGAATACTGGCTGCTCTGGAAGAGGACCTGGGTTTACTTCCCAGGATGCACCTGATGGTTCACAAATATTTGTAACTCCAGTTTCAGAGAATCAAGGTAGACTTCTGACTACATTGGGTACAGGTATGCTCACTGTCATACATAAATGCAAGCAAAAATACTTTTATTTGTAAAGGAAAACAAAGCATCTTTAAAAGCAAAGAAAGCTGAACAGCAAGAAGCTGAAAGAATACAGAGTAGAAAGTGGGGAAAAAATCTGTAACTCAAATGAGAACAAGAACTCTGTTTGTGGGATTCAGTGATGGGAACATCACAGGGTAGAACAAGCAGCCTTGGTGGGAATAGACTGTCATTCCTACACACAGAAAAACTTTTAATCTTTAGTACCATTCATGACATTTAATGTTTTAGTAATTCTTCTTGAATGCAGACTGGGCCTTGAGGAGAAGTCTATTCTATCTCTCTATAGATTGAGTTAGTCTGTAGACCTGGAAAAAAAAGCAACAGGAACAATTCAGGGAGCCAGAAGCAACCTCTACTGATTTACTCATGGATAGTGAGAAGGCTAGATGTGGACATGCTGTGGAAAGAGGCAGATCTGAAAGGCAAATGTAGTAAGGAACAGGCTGAAGTGAATGGCCTGCTTGCCACCAGGGGCCAGGGTGATATCTCAGCCTGGGCTAAGCCTTAGGGCTATGTCTGGGTCTGTGGTCCTACTGCAGCCAGGATTTGTGTTGACATCCATTCCCCATATTGCCACCAAAGGCCACAGATCCACCAGGGGACATGGTGATATCCTGGCCTGGCCTCTGCCAAGGGGCATGTCTGTGTCCATGGGCCAGTAGCAGCCAAGGTCTATGTTGATGTCATGTCTTCAGTAACAACTGAAGGCTGTGAGGGTGCCCAGGGTCTGGTCAGCCACCCAAGTCCATGTTGCTGTCCAAAAGTCATGCTTCCAATATGGCCATGCTGATTGATGTGGCCTGTGCTGCCCCCTGTGGTGATATCTGAGCTCAGGCTGTGATATAGGGCTATGACTGGATCTGTGTCCCTGCCACAGCCAGGATCTGGGTTGATATTCATAGCTCCTTTATCACCAAAGGTCATGCAAATACCTGGGGTCTGGGCTGTCACTTGAGGCCGGGTGATGCTGTAGCTGGGTCCATACAGATCTGACTACCTTGCACTACCTTCAGGTGCCATGATGACATGTAGGTCCAGGATGCAGCTGAGGACCATGTCTGGGTATGTGGTCCTACTGAAGCCATGATCTGTGTTGATGTCCTTAGCTTTTGATATTATTGAAGGCCATGCCAAAGCCAAGGGTCTGGGTTGCCACCTGGGGCCACTTTTGTGTTCATGGGCCACACTGTCACTGGTGCCATGCTATTCTGAGTGTCCTGGGCTGCTACCTGGGGCCATGATGACATCTGGGTCTGGGTTGATGCAGAGGACCATTCCTGGGTACTTGAACCTACCACAGCTGAGGTCTGTGATAATATCCCTGGTCCATAATGCCACCAAAGGCCACACAGATGCTCAGGGTCTAGGCTACAACCTGTGGCTATGTTGGTGTCTGAGGGCTGTGCCACCACTCAGGCAATGCTGATCTAAGTGTCCTTCACTGCCACCCAAGATCATGGTGTTGGTCAGTCCCTGACTGCTGCGGAAGGCCATGTCTGGGTCCATGAACCTACAGCATCCAGGGTCTGAATTGATGTCTATGACTCCTGTTACCATTGAGGGTCATGGAGGTGCTCAGGGTCTAGTCAGCCACCCGAGACCATGCTGGTGTCTGAGGATCTTGCTGCTGCCACAGCTATTCTGATCTGGGTGGCCTATGCTGCCAACTGGGCCATGGTGATATCTGGGCCCTAGCTGAGACCAAGGGCCATGTTTGGGTCCATATTCCTGGTGCAGCTGGGGTCTGTGTTGATATCCATTGCCTGTGTTACTACAAGGGCTCACAGAAACCATCCATGTTGAAATCTGAGTGCTGTGCTGAGCTGGCCCCTCCTTTCACTGGAACTAGGATAGTTGGCTCTGCCTCTTGCTGTACACTGAAGCAGGAGAGATGGTCCCACTTCTCACCACAGGTTTGGGAGAGCTGGCCATGATGGCATGGATGAGGAGATGAGGCTCCACCCCTTGCTTGGTGGGGACAGTCCCAGTGGCTGGGACTGGCCAGCTCAGTTACCACTTAGTCATGAGTCCTAGGCCTTGGGTTGGCCCACTCTAACATCTATCCTAAATATGGCCTGCTGGAGAGCATCAAGGTACTGGTCCTGCAGAATGATAGCTGCGGGTTCTCCATGACTCTGGGCAACAGCAGGATACCTGAGAGGAGTTTTGATAATGGTCTACTGATGATGGTGTCCTACAGCCTTGAACCAAACCAATAACTCATTGCATTAATATTTGTGGGTGGGACTGATTAGACAAAAGAATATATTGCATGGCATACCCCAACTCCCAACGCTGTTGGAGAGAAGAGAAAGATGGAGGAGTTAGGTGGCTTTTTTAGTTTATTTTTAAATAATTTTTCTTTGGGGGAAATTGTGTGGGTGAGGGGTGGATATGGAGGAACTGTAAGGTAAACAGGATTGGGGTTCATAATGTAAGATCCATTATCCATCAACTAGTATTTTCTCCTTAAACCCTGACCTTTTTGAAGTAATAAAAAAAATCAGAAGGACTATTTATTAAGCAACAGAGGAGGAAGACACCCAAATCTCAAGGCATACAGGTATTTATTCAGCATGTATGAGTCAGAGATTCTTA